TACAAATACAGTTCCCTCCTGTGGTGCAACATTAAAGTCAGTTCATTGCAGACAGGACAACAAATGTGGTCAGATGCAATTACAGGATAAGAGCCATGGTTTTTAATCAGGCCACAGTCAGATTGCTCTTTAACAGTGCTATGCAGCTCTAACATGCATACATCTTAACCAAACGTGATTTTAAAGTGTACATATACCTAAGAGAAATATAAACATGTATCACAAAAAAACACCATCATGTGAGTATACAGCCTTTATCACCCATTTGTGCTTTTAAAACTATTTCCTTCTTCAGCTTGGAAGAAGGTAAAAATTAATTATATTTTGTAGAAAAACAATTGTGTTCACTATATAAATATTCACACTTACTTCAAAAAAGGCAGAATGACATTTATCAAAGATTGTAATTTTACAGTTCCATCAAAAAAATGTTTGTTCAATTGTAATCTGATATGTTCTTTCTTATTGCCGGTGTTCATTTAGATTACATATTTTAAGAGTTAACAAAATAGCAGCATGTGTTCAGTCAATTCAGACTGGTAATATTCAATAGCAAGTTATAAAGGAAGGAAACGGGGCATCTTTCATTGTGTGACCAAGATGTCTCCAAATACAGCTTAAAAATGGCTTCAAAATATAGTGAGCCAAAACTTTACCCCTAAGAAACATACAGTGCAAACTGGAGACACAAATCCAAATTCTACTCCTGTATTTTAGGGTTCATCTATACCATTGCCTGAATAAGTCTGGGGAGTGGGGTGAGGCTACCAAGAAATAAATCCTTTATGCATGTGCTCAGACCTGTAAATAAAGTAAAATAGACACCTTGGACCAGCCCTGAGCATCTCTCTCAGAACAGTCTGAGTCTGGCCCCTGGGTGGGCCTCACTAAGCAACTTAAGCCTGATCCCAAGATTTCTTCACTGTCTAATTTGTAAGCCTGCCCACATGCAGTGGGCAGGGCTTATTTCTCAGTGCTGTTCCCACATTCACTTGGGAAGTAACTTAGACATAATCTCAAGGGCCAAAAACTGCTGTTTTGTCATTACTGAGCTCATCTACACATGCAATTAATGAACAGCAATAAACTCCAGTACATATCGCATCTGAGTTTATTGCTTCTGGGTGCCACGTTTGAATGTGTGCCTGCAACCGCAGCACATTGAGCTGGGGTGGAGCAGTCCTGGCTGGCAGGTGGCCTTAAGGCTCAGCCTGCCAGCCTGGGACTGCTCTGACCCAGCTCACCTTGTTGTGGAGGGGCTGGCTGGGGCATGGAGGCTTCAGTGAGGAGCTAGCCAACAGTCAGCCCCTTCACTGAAGCACCCTTGTGCCCCAGCCAGGCTCATCAGCATCTACATGTGCATTGCTGTGGAGTAAAAAACTCTGCCACAGCATGATACTTGTATTTACAAGTACTAACCTGTGGTAGAGTTAATTAGTTTACTCCATCCTAATAGCACTGCACATGTAGATGCTGAGATGTTTACTGTGGAGCTAATTAGTCAACTCCGCAGTAAATGTTTCATATAAATGTGCCTACTGAAAGTCTTGTTTTGTAAGATGTGCAGGAAGTTTATGTATGTAATGTTAATTATGGACTTCTCAATAGCATTTTCACTTTTCTAAATGTGCTAAAATATGAAACTAGGGACCAGATTCTATTCACCCATTAAGCATCTAAGTGAACTCAGATACTTAAGTGTGATTCTATTCTATTCCGCCCTGTTCAAATACACTGAAGAATCTACTTCTGTAGCACACGGTCATCCTACCCTTAAGACTGAGTCACAAAAAAGCAGTAATGAAGAGGAGCACCCAGCCATCTTTGCATTAATTGTTTTTCAGCAACTTAAGCAAGATGGAATAGAATCATACTTAAGCACCTCAATCCACTGAAGCACTTAATAGGTGGACTATAATTGGCCCTAGTATCACAAGAGGTTCCTTGGTAATGTCATGCTGATCAAGATAAAGGAGGGTAATCAAAAGAGACATTAAAAGCATTAAGAGAAGAGATGAGTACTTACAGCCTTACCCAGTCTTTACATAAAGGAAGAAAAGGTCTGATTCAAATACCTGCTGAGCAGGATGCCGTTTTATGATCTGGCTGCTCCCTAGCTGTTAGGAGTTTTGTCAAATGAAGGCTTTGTAGTCCCAAAGGAAAAAACAACGGAAGGAGTATACCAAAAAATAATTGATCATAGGATAAATAGTGTCATCAATCCCCCTCATATGTAGCCCAATGTAGCAGTGACCAGAAGAGGAAATCAAATAAGAAATAATAATTGGGAATATCTATGACATGGCTGAACCTGCTCAAACCAAGAATCACAGTAAGACCATAAGCAAATACCTTTAAAAATACCTGACATGACAGGTCTTATTCAGCCAACTAACAGAAGAATTGGAGTTTAGAAAGTGAATTTAGATGTTCACAAGAAGATGCCACCCAAGGAAAAGGAAGAGCTGAAAAAACTACTTAATTTGTGAAAATTAGTTAGCATGCTGAAATCTGACTTTTGCTTACTGCAGGACGGACTCTGCAAAAATGTCGATAACAAAAATGCAATGCTCTTGCTTTGTATGAATTAAAACTGGCTGTCAACTTACGTTTTTTATAATGCCAGTTTCTAAGGAACTTGTGGTAGCCAGATAAAGGGTGTATTATTAAAGTTGGGTGCCTAAAAATAGCTAAATGAATAATTAAACCCCTACAAAAAAGGGACTTGGTTTCCATGGATTTTGAGCACTCAGAGTCCCAAGAAAATATCCATCTGGAGGCAACCCAGTTAAAAAAATGTAATCAGACTTCCTAACCTTAGGCCAGGGCTGTCCAACTGGTGGCCCAGAGGATTAAATTGCAGCCCCCAGGCTCCTGCCTGCCTACAACAGCAACCAAAGTCTGTGAGCGCCACCACCCTCCACTGGCTTCCATTTCCTGCCTCTACCCAGGGGGTAGGGCAGTGCAGGGAACAGCAAGGGGAGCTGAGGGCAACTCTGCAGCCATGCATGGAGTAGGGGGTGGGGAAGGGGGCAGAAACAGGGTTGCACAATTGGTGCAATGGTGGGGGGGTACCACAAAGGCATGGATTGCAACAGAGGGAATTTGTGCTCACACAAAGTGGGGGAGGAGGTGGGGGTAGAATACAGTGGTACAAATAAACAATCTGGTCAATGAGGAAAAACAATGAAGGTTGGTCTATTAAGACAACATTAGCATAGGAATATATATTATTAAATGTAAATTACTAGTAGGTAGCTACATAGGGAAGTATTCTTTTCCATCCAAGTGTACAACTAAACAACCCAAGAACTCTCAACTTACATATGGCGAATTGGGTAAAGTTTTGAAAGCACTTACAGCAGGCTTGCTACTTCAGTGCTGCTGTTAAGACTCCTATATACTAAGCATCTCCAGTAATGACCCGGACAATTTAATTATGAGGGTCAAATTATTTACTCACTTAAAAAGCTGCAAATACAGAGGGCTGGAACCTCAACTAGTGTGAACTGATTAAGCTTCACTGACGTAAGTAGAATCAATGGAGCGGTTTTCACTAGTGTAATTCCACTGCCTGCATACAATATTTAGCCCTGGAAATGCAGTGACTAAATGTAGAGAGAGAGGTCCTGATGGCCTAACCCTGCTCTCTTGATAGCAAATCCAGTTTTGCTATTGAACCAATGAACCAGATTTTTATGTTCTTCCTCATGTGACATACAACTTTATGTTACAATCTATTGCCGATTGCAATCAATCAGGTTACTTGAGGAGCCAAATGCTGCTCAGCATGAGTCAAGGTGGTGTAATACAATACAATGGGTGTATGATTGAACAGTGCACTCAGCAAACTTACCCTTGTGAATAAGCTGCATTTTTCTAAGAGAAGGAAGTTATCAAAATTATGCTGTAGGCTTTCTTTGGTTTCCATCACCAAGAGACATCAGGGGCTGTTCCTTTTCAAATGTGGAAGATATGGATTTTAAGGATTTTTTAATCCAATTCCCAACAATACTGTATTTTATCGCATACAACATGCACCCCTCCCCAAATAAAATGTGCACCTTGTCTTTGGAAGGCAAAATATAGAAAAAATATTTTTTACAGCTTGATGACTAACTGTGTGAAATAGTCATAATAGGAAACATAAAAAGGTCCAGGAGGTGTGACATTGGGAACTTTTTCAGGTGGCAGACTGTCTTCTGTAATGCCACACATCCAGGACACACTACGTTCCCAAGAGGACTAACTCCGTGTCACACAAGTTAGATCCCAAACCTTTTCAAAGGGCAGTAGCAAGCTCTTTACTATAAGTCTTTTTTTTTATATAAGCTCCTGTAAATAAAGTGTTGTTTCCACATAACAAGACTCATCAAAATACTACCAGCACCTCACATGCTACTTCAAGCACAAGCTACGGTGCTCAGTCAAAAGCTATGGCTGTGAGAGGGTTAACACAAGAGGCTGCCCCTTCAGTTTGCTGAGCAGCCACAAGCACTAGCCATCTTGACAGCTGCATGGTCTGCATAATGTCTCAAGGCACACTGCTTTTCCAGTGAAGAAACCAGCCTCCTCACTTAAAACACACAGCCCAATTTTCAGGGGCTGATTTGGGGGGAAAAGATTCATGCAGTATGTGAGAAAATACAGAACTGTATTTCTTGAACTCAAGTCTTCTGCCTCTGCATTTCTCTGGACATGTTTAAGACAAAAGAAAGCATACCGTGTCACCTAACTGAGTTGATGCAATATAATAGCCAAGAAAGCTTTTTAAACTAAGCTACGACATTGGAATCATACTAATTTCATGTAGCCCCCGTGTATATGCATATCACATAGATTTGATTTTCCCTACTTGTTAAATTAGTTAATGGGTTATTAATACTAGTGTTGGTAAACTTTATTTACAGATGACCTAAAATAACTTCTAAAACCATAGAAAATAAGTTAGTTTCTTTCTGATGGAGAATACATAAGACTGAATACCAACCTCAAGCATAAACTAGTTTATTTAAAAAAAACAAAATCTTGATCACATGCAGCTGACTCATTTTCTCCAGACTGTGAAAAACGAATAATAAATTACTCAGGGCTTGATCTTCCAAATGCTTATGCCCATGAATGAACTTTACCAACAATAATAAAGTATCATGGGATCATTCTGAACTACAGTAATGTAATGTAATTAAGCACATGCTTAACTTTAAACATGTGCGTAAGTCCCCAAATAGGCATCTTAGAAGCATGGGACTGTAGAATCAGGGGGATAGTGAGTAAAGTAACACACACCCTTAAGTGTTTTCAGGACCAAGCCTCACTGTTGTCAAGGGGAATATTTATCATAAGAGATGCCCTGATCCTTATCTTATAAAAATCATCTCTTTTTTAATAAAAATACATTTAAAAAACTCAGACATTTGCTAAAAGCAATATAAAACTCTCAGGTTTGAACTTTGTAAAAGCCTATCTTTACTAAAACATAAGTGTCATTTGCCACATACATTCTTATTTACAGTATTTACAAATAAATATACACAGAAAAATCAGGAATGGATGGCACACACCTATATAAGACAGAAATTCCATTTTACCTTGCACAATCACAAGAATACAAGCAGCAGCTCAAATTATGCAACCTTGAAGTTTTTGTGTTGTTCTGTTTGCAGTGATTTTCCTAACTTCTCTGCAATTATGCACCAGTTCCCATGATCATAGCAAGAAGAAAGAATCTGAAGCTCAGGCACATTCTCTTCTACTAGACAGCATAGCTCCCCTTCCCGAAAAACATGATAATAACGCATGAAGGCTTTTGTATCCAATGTGCCAGTAGTCTGATCTTCAACAGCCACTGCTGCATCCAAAATTGAATCAGTAGAGTCAGTTGTTGAAGTTCTTTTAAAGAGTTTGCTAGCTGGAGACTTATCACCTTCATCCTTTTTACAAGTACAGCTGCAATCTTTGTCTTCCATAGGGCCACTTAATGATGATGTTTCTTCATGCTTGCTCTGAATGTCATGCTCTCCACTTAAATCTCTTGTTGCATTTGAGGCTGCCATCCATTGTGCTTTCCCAAGAGACGCATTTTCCAGAAACACTTCATCATCATCTAAACTTTGTTCTTTTAACAATGGCCCAGGATGACCTAAATCTAAACTGCAGTGCCTTGAAGGCTGAATGGATATTGCGCTATTTGTCCATCTGCCTATGTTCTTCTCCTGCTTCACCTTTTCAGGTTGCTTTCGCAAAGCTGATTCATCAAGGGATCTGGAGAAAAACCACAAACGAAAAGATCTCCCCAGTGCCCTATAGAATCTGTTTTCTTCTTCAGACATTTTCATGCAACAGGTTCCTGGTAAGCAATGGTCTGTACTGTGGGAATGTTTTGAATCAAAATCCAATTTAGGATTAACTGCGTAAGGGCACTCAGAGCCTGTAAACTGTTGTAGGTGTATATCCTGATTCTTAGCATTAAGTTCATTCTTATCCCCAGTCTGATTTGATTCTGAAAAAGGCCGGGAGCACAAGGCCCTATTCCAAGGAACAAAAACATCTTGTTTCTCAAAGCGACGATTCTTTTGTTCCATAGCCCAAACATAAATCATCATCTGGCCTCCAGGCATCAACACCCTGGCCATTTCCTTTATTGCTTTGATTCTCCTCTGTTTTGTTGAAAAATGGTGAATCACTGTGAAGGCAGTTAAATTTAAAGGCATGTTAAATATTACTACTGCTTCTTTATTTCCCTCCTTCATGCTTAAAAGCCCTTTTTTTAGTTAATTTGGTGTCCAGGAAATATATTTTGACAATACTTGAACTAGAAATTCTCTCTCTAGCCACAGAGTACATATAGCAAAAGGCAAACACAATGCAAGCTTCCTCTTTACCTTCTTGACAACATGCTTTACCTAGAGCTAGTTGCAAAAATATAAGCCAAACTATTTGTCTTCAGAAAACCAAGCCTATTGAAATACTCTACAAGATCATGTCACTTTTTAATATAAATTTTGCTTTGGGAAAAAAAAAGTCTGGACAAAGTCAAAATAATTCTTTCCAACGTTTTCTAAATGAAATGTGTCATTCTGAGGTGATTTATCTTTTGAACTTTTTAATTGTGTGTATTTTTTTAGAGAATTAAATCAAAGCAATTTTGATCGTTCTGAAATTAAATTCTTTTCCTTTGTAAGGAATTTCAAAACTTCAAGGTTTAACTCTAATATGCAATAAAACACACTTTGAAATCTCTGGATGTTTCAAGAAATAAAATTTCTGTCTCTTTGAAGGTCCAACTATCTTTACCCCTGTCCTGAAGGGACCACCTCTAATGGTCAAAGAATAGCTGAAGGCATGAACAGATGACATGGTTACACCACCGAATCAGTATCACACTGGTGTGAAAAATTGCAGACAGACAATATACACCCCAAAACTACAGTAACTTGGTGAAGAATTATCTCCAAAATAATCTGGGGTAAAATTAATGTGTAAATTGCATCAGTTTAATTATTGTCTCTCCACATCCATCTCAGAATAGCTGTTTGCTCATAAACTTCATGAGACAGGGAAAGCATAAAGTCAGCAGAACTAAGACACTGGGTTTCAAAAAATTGTATTTCAACTGATTCAAGGAGATAGTAGGTATGGTGCCATGGGAGGAGAAACTGAAGGATAAAAAGGGCTGTGAATAGCATCTTGTTGAGCTTCCCAACACAATGGGAGCACAAAAAGAATGGCAACAGAACCAATGTGGCTACGCAGCAAACTTCCAGGATGCCTCATAATACAGCATACGAGCAATGGAAAGATGGGCAGGTCACCAAGTAAATATACCAGAAATTAGTAAGAACCTGCAGGAACAAAATCAAGGTGGCAAAGGTGAAAAAAAGAGTTTCACCTGGCAAGAGAAGTTAAAGTGAATAAGAAGAGGTTCTATAAATGTGTTGGTCAGAAAAGGAAGAATAAGGAAGCTTTGGGTCCACTGCTGAAAGCTAAGGTGACCAGTTAACAGAAGATTCAAAGAAGGCGAAGCTAATCAATAGCTACCTTGCCTCCGACTTCACAGAAAATTAAGTTGCAGTGAAACAGCTAATAAGGATTATTTGGATAAGGGAGGGGACAAACTGGAGGTTGAGATAACAGAAGAAACAGAGAGCTTTTGACAGGTCTCAATTAATAAATCATCAGGGTCTGATGAGCTTTAATCCCAAGGTACTAAAGGAACTAGCAGAGATCTCACAGACCTTGACAATAATATAATGAAATCATGGGAGACCGGTGAGACAGCAGAGGACCAGAAGAGGGCCAACATAGAGTCGCTCTTTAAAAAAAGGGAAAAGAGGAGGACCTGGGGAATAACAGGTTAGTCTCACCTCAACACCTGGGAAGCTACTGGAGCATATCAGGAAAGTAATTTACACACATCTGGAAGATGAAAGTCTGATCACAAGCAGCCAGTGTGGATTTACTAAGAACAAATGATGCCAAACAAATCTGACGTCCTTCTTTGACAAAATAAATAGTTGGGTGGATGAAGGGAATGCAATGGATATAGTGTACTGGACTTCAGCAAGGCTTTTGACAAACTTCCACATTCAAGCCAGATAAAATTACTACAATGTGGATAAACAACTGGTTCACTAGCTAAAGGGAATTATAAATGGATCCATATTCAAATGACAGGAAGTTCCAAGTGGAGCCCATGGGGGTCTGTCCTCGGCCCAGTGCTGTTCAACATGTTTGTTAATGATTTGCCAACTGGAATAGATAGCTTCTTGAGCAAAGTTGCAGAGGGAGGACACAAAACTGTGAAGGAGTGCAAACATACTAAAGGACATGAGCACAATTCAGAGGAATTTTGATAGATTAGGAAGCTGGGCAAAAGCCAAGAGGATGAAATTAAATACTGACAAATGCAAGATGCTATACCTCAAGAAGAATCAAAAACATAAATGTGAAATGGGTGACAACTGGCTGGGTGGCAGCACTACAGAGAAGCATCTAACAGTCTGGATGGAATAGAATCAATACAAGTCTGCAGTGTGATACAGCTTCACAAAAGGCTGCAGTCAATAGGAGTTTTTCAGTTTTGGGATGCATCAACAGGCACATCAGGTGCAAGACACAGGAGGTGCCAGTGCCTCTTTACTTGGCAAACCATATAAGGTTGACAGAAACAGGCACTTTCAGCTTGCAAGATAGATAGTTAAGAGGGGATAGGATAGCAGCCTTAAAATATTTGAAGGTCTCCTATAAAGAGCAAAAAGAGGGAGCACACCTTTTTTCCATTGTTGCAAAGAGCAGGACATATCCCAATGACTTGAAGTGGCAGCAAAGTAGGTTTGGATTGGATATCAGGAAAAACCTCTTCACTATTAGAAAAATAAAGCAGTGGAATAGACTGCCTAGGGAAGCTGTGGAATTTTCATCACTGGAAATTTTCAATAAGAGGTTGGATAAGTATAGGTCAGGGAAGATCTAGGAGTAACTACGCTGAAGTTGCTTTTTGAAGCACACAGCCGGAAGCCCAAAAGGTCCGTTCCCCTGCCCTCCTCCCCCAACCCCACAAACTGGAAGATAATAGGGCTGTGTGAAGCTTTGGTCGCTGATTTGATTTGGCAGAGATTCGGCCCAATTCAGCAGCCAAATCTCCAAATCCAAATCGAATCAGGAGACCCTTTAATCTCTCTGAACCGAATCGGAACCCTCCAAATTGATTCGGAGAGATTCAATGATTCGGACATGGACACGGCTTTAAATGTTTTTTCTACATACCTCAAGGTGCCAGGCAGCTCGTGAATGCTGAGATGGTGAGGTGGATGAAATGTCCCACAGGAGCATGGGAGGGGTCCCCAGCATGCTCAACGGCAGACCCGGAAGTGGACCAGAAGCATGTCCGGTCCACTTCCAGGTCTGTCACAGAGCATGTGGAGGACCCTTCCCTCACTCCCCGCCCCCAGCTCAGTAACTGGTGCCTTCTGGGTCTGGGGGGCACCCCCACAGCCAATCACCGAGCTGAGGGGGTGTGGAGGGGTGTCCCCCATGCACTCAGCAGTGGACCCGAAAGTGGACCGGAAGTAATTCTGGTCTGCTTCCAAGTCCACAGCTGAGCATGCAGTGGGACCCCCCTGCCCCCGCACTCCTGTCACCCCACCATCGCAGCATTCACAAGCCACACCTGGTACCTCAAGGAATGTAGAAAAAACATTTAAACCTGTGTCTATGGCCAAATCGCTGATTCTCCAAATCAGCATCTAATCTTCAGATTCCGATTCAATCAAATCAAATCAGGGACAGTGATCCAAATCAATGAATCAAATCACTGTTCCCCAATTCAGGCCGAATCCAAATTGAATATGGCCTGTTTCACACACCCCCTAGGAGATAATGAGAAAAGCTGTGCCGCCTACAGTAGGTGGATATTGGAGAAGACCATGCTCAGCAGCAGGGAGAATGAAGTTGAGCTCTACAACCAACTAGTTACAAAAGAAGAATAAAGCAGCTGAGATAAAATAATGGAGGGGATATTAGGGCCTTGTTGCACATTAATTTTAGGTGGCTTCTGGAGCTCTTAATCCCTGGATTATCCACACATTAACAACTGAATCTAGTTTTAAGCACACTTTAGGTGGCTTAAAGTTATGCCACTCCAGGGTAGGTTTATCTCTGATCTGTGCTACCCAGCTCATGTTCCATTAGTGTATGGCCACTCCCCACAGATGAACTACCCAACTTGCAGTCCTCCAGCTTCCCAGGATGCAGTGTCCCCTCCCAAGCCCTCTTGTTTTGTGTGGACAAACTTTCCAGCCCCTGAACTCTATACTGCCTGGGGGGCAGTTCTGGCACCAGGCCAACTCCCCCTTCCCATCCCTGGGAGTGTGACCTTCCCATCCCCAGGACTGCAACCCCATGCAAACAGCCTGCAGAGCACATGCCAGCTAGCCAGGTTGCAGGGAACAGTGAGGTTCAAGAGTGGGGCCTAGGGTGGGTGGAAGGCGACAAAGTAGGGATCAGACTGGATCCCCATGAGCTGGGCCTCCTTCCCACAGCAGGGACAGCAGTTGCCCCAAAACACCTTCCTTACTGCTCCTACCTTCTAACCACCCTGGGAAGCCCAACCAGCACCCCCCATTCCTCAATCCCAATCCCAAATCCTAACTTTATTAAGCCTTCTTTAATTTACTTCCTCTTTCTTTTTAATATATTTTTTACTTCTTTTTATTTTATTCTTCCGTGGTTGACTTCCTTCATTTTGCCACCCTTCCCCCACCCCCATTTCCTTTCCACCTTCTATTTCATTACCCACCCCATCCCATTAACTCTCTGCCTCCCAGCTTCATGTTCCTGCCCCCACAGAACCCATCTCTCACACACCCTAGAGCAAGGATAGAAGCCTGTCTGGCTCACCAGCCCTGTAGTGGCAACTCGGAGCTGTAACTCCTAGTCACCCCCACAGCTTGCCAGCCCTCAAGTGGCAAGTCACAGCTGTACAGGTGGGGGGAAGTCAGAGAAATTTTTTAGCCTTAGGATGTGACTGCTCCAAACTCAAAGTTAGCACTAATACCCGTGAGCATCTGAGCAGCATAAAGTAAAATGTGTAACAAGGTCCTTAGAAAAGGGAGTTCTGGTTGTCCAGTTAAAGGGTGAGATTTGTGGAATTATGCTTGCTGTCCCCAGGTTGCAGAGCACAAT